AGTAGGAAATATAGTGAGAATTCTAGTAAGTTTTAAGGATTCTCCTAGTACTCAAAAGTGACGGTTAAAATAATTTTAATTGAATTATATTGTATACTTATAAGCCACATGATTCTTTCCCATTCCTGATAATCCTGTTTCCAATCAGAAACAGGAAACTTTTCAACAACTGCTTACTATTTATGACTTCATATATTTCAAGCACTGTGTTGTCATTGTGCCCTATTATTTCTGTGGCACTTCCCACCACTCTAATGAACTAACCTATCTGATGTGTCTGGGATGTCAGTGCCATGTTTGCTTTGTTCACTTTACATCCCAGTACTGAGCATTGCACCTTGTGACTGAAGAATGGGCCAAGTGAGATGTTTATCAGATATCCTTCAGTGAGAGAAACAAGAGTTTTACAGTATCATTATTTCTAAAAATTAAAAAAAAAAATCTATACACAAAGGAAGCGATGGAAGATTAAATACCAAAGTATTTTCTCATGTTTATTTGTGTTTTCTAATATCCTTAATTACTTCTGTAATAAAGGAAAATAAAAATGTATGTGTAGGGACTAGAGTTGTGGCTCAGTGGTAGGGTGCTCACCTAGCATGTGCGAGACACTGGGTTTGATCCTCAGTACCACATAAAAATAAATAAAATAAAGGTATTGTGTGCAACAGCAGCTCAAAAAAATATTTAAAAATTTTGTATTGTATGTGCAATCATACAATATAAAAATATTGTATTGCAATCTATCTCCTTAAATATTACTTATAATTAACAAAAGGAAAACAGTAGGTATAGAGAAACCATAAACAAGTGAACAAAACTTAGTGCAATAATACAGAAAACACACATCTACAGCTGTGGTACTAAGAGTACAATGCTACTCATGAGTGTTCCATTGGTGATATATAACCTAAATTTATCATAACAAAACACTGGACAACTCAAATCCATAGACCAATTGTTCTATAAAATAATTGGTCTATACTCTTCAAAAATGTCAAAGATAAGAAAGACTGAAGAACTGTCTAGAGACATAAAAACTAAAATGTGTGATCCTAAACTGGATGCTGTGATAGAAAAAAGTATTATATGGATTATTGGGGCAATGGAAGAAATTTACTGGATGACAGATTAAAATGTTGTGCCAATGTTAATTATCCTGAATTTGGTGACTGCACTGTAGTAAAAGAAAACAACCTTTTTAATAACAAATATACAATGAAGGGGATGAGGGGTAATGATGCATATATAGTCATATATCACACAACAAGCTTTCAGTCAATGATGGACCACTTATGATGGAAGATTCATAAGATTATATTGCCTTGTGATATTGTAACCATCTTAGTACAGGTATACTTCATGATACTCAGACAATAACAAAATTGGCTAATGATGCATTTCTTTTTTTAATTAAAAAAAATCTTTTTTAGTTGCAGATGGACACAATACCATTAGTTATTTTTATGTAGTGCTGAGGATCAAACCCAGTGCTCCACAGAGCTATACCCTTAGCCCTCTAATTATGCATTTCTCAGTATGTATCCCCATCATTAAGTGATGCATGCCAATCTATTCTCAGATTGTTCAGCAAAATACTAGCGAGGAAGATGTGGCAAAATGTTAAAAATTGGTGAATCTGAATTAAGAGTACAAAGTATATGAGTTCTTTATATTATTCTTGCAACTTTTTTGTAAGCATAAAACTATTTCAAAGTTACAAAAAAGCAATTAGCCAAAAATAACTACTTACATACTTCTTTTTAAGTATGTAAGTCAACATACACACAAAATAAACATATGCTTTCTTCGAAAATTACAGTATTTTAATATAACTTTTAGAAGTAGGATAAGCCTTAGTTTATAAAGTGTAAATTTTTTAATTTTGTTTTTGCAGTGCTACAGGTTGAAACCAGGGCATTATACATGCTAGGGAAGCTCTACCACTGAGCTACATCCCCAAATCTAAATTTTTATTTATTTACAGAAAATATACACACAAAGTCTAAAAGTGTGAAGTTGGAAACCAAAAGCAAGCTCACACTTAGATAAATGTGAACAATTGAACAAAGATGTAATTTTTAAATATCTTCCCAGTTCGAAAATCCTTCTTTTTTAAATAAGTTTTCATATGAAGTCAAGTCCTTCTGATTTAAGGATGGTTTTACAGTCTTAAGTGATTGTAGAAAGTGTTCTTGATTCACAGAGGTTGCTTCCAGTCCATTTTCTTGTAGAGCCAGCAAAGCAGCCTATAAATGACAACCAACAGGAAATTGCTAATTTGCTCATTTTTAAAAAATGAATGATCTACAGTAATACTTTAAAATCTGAATGCAAAACCTCAGTCTCACTTCACAGAATTCCAATATTCATGTCATTAAAAACATTAAGCTAAAAAGTTAAAGGTAATTTAAAAGCCACTGAGTCGACCAGAGTTTCTCTAACATTAAAACTCCAGCTTGAAATGGAAAAAAAAAAAAAGCTGCAGAATAATAAATAATGAGTCCATAAATATTTATAAAGACAAGACAGTTCTTGATCTTGGAGTAGGAAAGTTTTAAGACTCAGAGATAATAAAAGAAAAGATAAAACACACAGTCTGACCCAGAAATTCTCCTTGTAAGTGTGTGTGTATGTGTGTATATATATATATATATATGTATATATATATATATATATGAAAGACATAACTACACACATGCACCAATAGACTTATACAAAACTTTTCATAGCAGCAGAATTCATAATAGTAAAAAAGTAGAAACCGAGAAGTTCAAAATTTTAAGAAAGGACAAATAAATGAACAATGTTCATATACTAGATTATAAGGCAATGGAAACAAAACAAACTATAGCTACACACAAAACTACAGATGAGTTTCAAACACAATCTTAAGTTAAAGAAGCAGACAGAAAACACTATATACTGTAAGGTTCCATTTGTATAAAGTTTAAGAGCAGGCAAACCAGTCTCCAGTGTTTTAAGTCAGGAAAGTGGTTCCCTTTTGGAAATGCAGGGAACAGAGGTGAAAATGGCCCAAAAAGAAAATTTTGGTGTGCTGATAATATTCATTCTATTTCTTGATATGAGTAGTAATTAAAAAGCGCGATCACTTTATATTAATTCCATAAACCATATCCTTATGATCTGTGCTTTCTTAATGTTACATTTAAAGCTGACCTGTAATGTCTTCTGCCTTCAAAATAAAACATAAAGGTCTTAAAGACTTGTAAGGGCCCATATGATCTGATTTCTGTCCATTTCTCCAGGTTTATTTCTTGTCTTTCTCCACTCCAAGATTCAGTAATGTCAGGTCATTTCTTTTCTGGGGGGTACTGGGGACTGAACTCAGGGATACTCAACCACTGAGCCAAATCCCCAGCCCTATTTTGTATTTTATTTAGAGACAGGATCTCACTGAGTTGCTTAGTGCCTCGCTGTTGCTGAGGATGGCTTTGAACTCATGATCCTCCTGCCTCAGCCTCCCCAGCCACCGCGCCTGGCTCAGGTATCTCTTAACTTTAATCCTCTTCACATTTTATGCCTCCTGCTTCAAATAATTCCCTCCACTTTTAGCTGGCTGATTCCCCAATTAGCTTTTCAACGTCAGTTTACATATCTTCTCTCAAAAGCCTTCCCTGATGTCCCAATTCTAGGCTGATGTCCTTCCTACATGTTCCCATAGCACCTCAACTCTACATATTTTCAATCTCTGCTCCCTCCCCTACTAATGTCTATCTACCTTCTAAGGAAAGGGGCCACCCCTGTCTGCTTCCTATTGAATGATATTTGTTACACAGAAGTCTTATAGTTAATGTTTTTGAGTGAATGAAGATTTGAATAGATGATGAAATGTTTTGAACCATACATTGATTACTTCACTAATTAACTTACTTCTTTGCAGAGGTTTCTAAGATCAGCTCCAGAGAAAAAACTGGTTTCTGCTGCTAGGTTTTCTAAGGAAACATCGGGTCCTATTGGCATGGTTTTTGTATAGACTTTTAAAATTGAAAGCCTGCCCTGGAACAAAATAAAAAATCTTATTAACATTTATGTTTGACACAATAATATATTAAAACATTTTGAGTTATCTATCATATATAGATAAAGTGTGTGTGTGTGTGTGTGTGTGTGTGTGTGTGAATCAAACAGTAAAAAAATATATATATATATCTTTACTTCTGAAGAGTAAGAAAAATTAAGTCTTCAATGGTCCATGTGACCATGGTAAAAATAATCACTCATAAACAACTTTAATATTTTTATAATATTATAATATTTTATAATTTTAAAGTAGCCAACTGTAGACAGATCTCTTTAAGATATAAGACAAATCTCTCTTGGGTACAAATAGTACAACTATAACAATTTAAGATAAAAATATATGAATTGTCAGATAAAATTTAAAAGTATTACAGACATTTTAATTTTTAAAAAATTTCTTCAAACTTGATAAAAGCCCAAGGGGGGGGGAATAAAAAACACTTCATTCTGAGTCTTCTGCCATTCCTTATCAGTGGTTCTAGATGCTAAGGGCAAAGGATTTACTGACTTGACTGTGGATGCATTGCATAAGCTCTGTAATCTTAAAATCTCTCCTCTGTGAAATGAGGATGCTGACCCAGATTATCTCCAAAACCCTTTTAACCTCCTTTCAACACACTAGGATTCCTCCATTCCAGTTGCAAAATAATGTTGAGCAGATTCAGGACTCAGCACCCAGTCTGCCACAACACTACCACCAGGTAACTACCTTACTTTTAGGCTTATCTTTCTCTGAAAGCAGGGCCAGGTATCCACCAAGAGCAGATCAAGATTATGATTTTATGAAGGGCCATCAGGCAAGGAGATATGTGAGGAGGACACTATGTTCAACTATGTTCAGTTTGGAATTCAATTCTGCCAAGCTCTTGAAATGTAGATGTTGATGTGGTATTCAGAATGTTCAGAGTAAACATCTACAGTGAGTACCTTCTGATCTGGAGGGGGAATATAGATGATCTTATCCAATCTTCCAGGTCTTAATAAGGCATCATCTAACACATCAGGTCTATTTGTTGCAGCAACAATCATGACATTTTGATTAAAAACTTCTTGAAACTCTGAGGGAAAACATATGACACAAAGTAATACCAATAAATTATTCTCTCTTTTTTTTTTCCAAGTTATGCATCAGAAGGTCCATTTGTTTTTAAATAGGGATATCTTTTTCTTTGGACCAGAATGTTTATACCTCCTAACCAGACCACTTTCTTGGTATCAAGGTATTCCAGAAACATATCATCATCAAAGAGCCACTTTGTGTGCAGGAAGAGAGTGGATAGTCCTGAGAAACTGTTTCTCCATGTGAGAACCAATGAAAAGCCTCATTGCCCTACCTGGTGACCTGAATGTACTTGAACCCTCAATGATTACAACTTAAATGGACTACCTGTAATGACAGAAGCAAATGACTCAGCAAGTAGAAATGTAAGGCTCTGAAAATTCTTGGTTATCTATCCCCAAGGGGATTTACTTTACTTCTTATTTTTCTTTCTAGAGACATAAATAATGACAAATAACCTAAGCTGCATGTAAATCCTGGATGAAGAGAAGAAATGTCTAAAAGCAGACGAGCAAGGCCTTGTATACAATGATCAATTAAAATTATTTGTTGAACTGAATAATCGGAACTGTTCTTTGGTGATCTAATCCCTCCAAGCAGGGAGTTCCAAGTACTTTAACAGAGGCTGGGTGAATACTTGCCAAATACTATATGAAGAATTCCTGTATTCTTAAGATTTGGTTTGATAATCTCATTGGTGCCTTCTAATTAAAAAATTATCTACTAAGGATACTAAATAGAAATCAAACTCTAGCTGGAAAAGAGAATCAGAAAACAATATTTACATTCATATACATCAAAGATAATTATAAAATTTACTTCACATTTCCCCGCCAAATCACAATTCCCACCAGCCCTTTTAAAATCTCATTAACATTTATGTTTGACACAGAGTCAAAATGAAATTACATACATCCCTCTAAATAAATCAGCACATGTAAAGCAAGAGCATGGTAAGAATTCTATTTAATGTTGGTCTGGATTTTTTATGTGCTCTGGCTAATAAATACCTCTTCATTTTTTTCAGCTCCTGGTATTTACCCTGTAGATTTGATTTACTTCCTCTTCTTTCTATTGTCTTAAGTCCCACACCATCTAACTCATTCAGGAGAACGGAAAGAACTCGCTCTTGAACATCACATCCTGTTTTGCTAACTGAGCGAGACCCCAAGATTGAGTCAATTTCATCCAAAAACACGATTGCTGGAGTATTTGCTCTTGCTTGTCGAAATACCTAATGTTGGAGAAAAAAATATTAAAAAGCTAATGTTATACACCATTCATGTGAATGTACATTCTCTGCATTACTACGTTTAACTTTTATTTTTATTTTAAACCCAATACTTTGTGCATGTTAGGCAAGCACCTACCACTGAGCTCATCCTCAGCCCACTATAATTTTTAAAGTACAAAAAGGAAGATTCTAAATGCCTAAGAAACTGGGAACCAATAAATCAAAGAATAATGGAGTATTATGTAGGACTTTAAAGTCATATTTTGAAAGGATATTTAATATGAAATTTCAAAAGAGATATGTTAACTTAAAAAAGCAGGATAAAGCTGTAGAAAGATAAGACCTGACTTCTATTTTGCTTTTTTTTTAAAAAAAAAAGACAAAGGCAATTCAACAAAAAGTTAACAGTAGGTAGAGGGATTATAAAAGGTATCTTACTTAAACTGCTCTGTATTTTCTAAATTTTCTATAAACAAACATGTAAAACTTTTATGATTTAAAACACAACTACTAATATTTTTTAAAATAGGGTTTATCTAATAAGATATGAAATAAAAGATAAAAAGTATACTTAAAGGCATGAGAAAAGTAACAAACCTGAGACAAAACCTTTTCTGAATCTCCAACAAAAGGTGAAAAGAGATCAGCTCCACTCACTGAAACAAAAGAGCAGTGACAGCTTGTGGCCAGGGCCCTCACCAGGGTGGTTTTAGCACATCCAGGGGGCCCATAGAGGAGAAGGCCCTTTGGTTGTGTCAGGCCCATCCTAATAAAGTCCTGAGGGAATTTCAGAGGCCACTCAATGCTCTGTAAATATGCAAAAAGAGATTTAAAAAATTGTTTTAGTATAATAAGAAAACATAAAATAATTCAGTAAATTCATTCAGTTCACTCAGCAATTCTCAGTTATGTGTTATGAGCTGAAATACAGTCTGTTCTCTACATAGTAGCCAACGATTTTAGAAACTAAGTCAGGTCACATCACTTCCTGCTGAAAGCGCTTCAGTGACTTCTCACAGAACTGGCATAAAATCCAAGTCCAAACTGCCTACTTCCACTGTTACAAGGCCTTACATAATCTATCTCCCAAACATCTGGCTTACTCCTGTCTCAGAGCCTTTACTTTACTCTCTGATTGAACCTCCCAGAAGATTTCTGTGTGGCTATTCCTCACCATTTGGGTCTCAGTTCAAATCCATTTCCCATGGAGAGGTCTTTTTTAACCACCCTAGCCAAAACAGAACCTCTTCCTCATTATTCTCTATGCTGCTACCTATATTTACTTTTAGAGCACTTATTTGCTAATATTTTTCCATGTTAGGTCTACTGTTCTGTTCTTAGTGGAATATAAAAGCAAAGTTCACCCACCCCTAAATCCTCAACACCTAGAATGACCAAGTCCCAAGCAGGCATTAAACAAATGTACCAAATAATCAATGAGTCCTGACTGTCTCTAAGATAAATGGTTTTATTATCATAATTTTACAGATACAGAAACTCAAGCTTAAAGAAGTTAAACTTGGAGCTGGGGTTGTGGCTTAGCGGTAGAGTGCTTGCCTGGCACATGCGAGGCTCTGGGCTCAATCCTTAGCACCACAAAAAAACAAATAAAATAAAGGTATTATGTCCACCTACAACTAAATAATAAGTAAATCAAGTTATTATGTCCAACTACAACAGAAAGAAAGAAAGAAAGAAAGAAAGAAAGAAAGAAAGAAAGAAAGAAAGAAAGAAAGAAAGAAAAGTTAAACTTGCCCACCTCTTATTGCTAGTGATGAGGCAGAAACAAGTCTGATGCCAGGAATATAACTCTAGAGCATTCACTCTTGTTCTTAATTACTGATATATAACCACTACAATAAGACAAGACCCCTGAATTCTGAACCTCAGGTACACACATTCTGGTTAGGGAAACAGGATTATTAACTAACAGCCAGAAAAGAGCATTCCAAGGGGAAGGAACACTACAAGATGTGCCTGAAACCATCTAATTTATTCCAACATTAAGCAGAAGCAGTGGAGAGGATGGGAGAAAGCAGAAGCAATGGAGTTAAAGTGGAGGTAGAAGTCAGAACACAAATGAGAGTTTTTAAGTCTACACTAAGAAAGGAGCATGAGAAATGCATTGGAAGGAACTAAAGCTAGAGGTAGGGAGACCAGTTAGAAATTTCTTGCAATGATTTTGTCTACAAAAATTACAAGGCTGGAAATGTCAAAGTAGAAATGGCATGGAAGGGATGGGTATTTGAAACATAAAAAGTTCTGGCCACTTGCTCTTAGAACGCAAGTTCTGACTAAGGGATGGGTAGCTTGCTGCTTTCACTGAGACAGGGAATTCAGTCAGTTAGTAGTTGACTTACTGGATTATGAACACACTGATTTTGAGAGCCATAGGATTATATATAGACAGGCCAGTCAATAGTCCCGATAACCAGAAGAAATGTCTACTGAAATATAGATATTTAGATAGACAGATAGGTAGATAGATAGATTGATTTTTGAATTAACAGGTTTCAAGGGATAGTTGAGACCTTGGACTCACAGATTTCAAATAGAAGAGCCCAGGAACCTCTTGAAGCAGCATTTAAGGGAGGAGAGAGGAATGCTCAGAAAGATAAGAAAGTTTAACAACCAAGCTAAGGGAAAAGTTTTCAAGAAGATGTGGCTAATTTATCTCATTCATCTTATAAAGATTAAATGAAATAAAGAGTTATGAAAAACTTGGGGCATATTATAAATGCTCTCAATCATGGACTTAAGGATTCTAGTTAAGATGAATAAATTCTAATTGATACTTATATAAGTCAGACTTTCATGTACGTACCTACAGAAAACTAGTTCCTTTAGTCAATACAGGCAAAAGGACCTAGAGAGTTGTATCCTTCATCCATATGTGAAAATCAGTAACAACTATGCCATACTGACTGTTTATTGCAATTTTGTGTTTTTACCAGTTCCTGTCTTATGGCCATGCAGATCAGAGGTCAGAGGAAACTAACACCCACTGTCCCTATTTTTAAAACCCACAAACTAAAAACAGTTTTAACATTTCTAAATCTTGGGGAAGTCAAAATAAAATAATATTTTGTGAAAATTATGGTTTCAGTGTTCATAAATAAATTTAACCAGAATACAATTATGGTATCTACAGAGGACTAACTACCAAAATCTAAGGATGCTCAAGTCTCTCATATAAAATGATGTTGGCTGGGGTGTGTAGTTTAGTGCTTAGCGCTCCAAGACTCTGGGCTCAATCTTCAATACCAAAAAAGAGAAAAAGCATAGTATTTGTATACAATCTACACATCCTCCATGTACTTTAAATCGTCTCTAGATTATTTATAATGCCTAATACAATATAAATGCTATATAGATAAGTGTTATGTTGTATTGTTTAGGAATGAAGACAAGGAAAAAAGCCTGTAAAGTGTTCAACACAGTTACAATTCCTCCCCCAGAATATTTTTAATAGTGATTTAAATCCACAGGTGCAGAACCTGTGAATAGAGGGCTGACTGTACTCATTTATGTGTTGTCTATGGCTGTTTTTGCACTACAGTGATGAAATTGAATGACTGTGACAGATACTGTTTGGCTCACTAACCTTAAAACAAATTGCTATCTGGCTTTTTACAGAAAATCTGTTGAATCCTGTTTTAGATTTTAAATTTGGGGGGACTGGGGTTTGCAGGTATTAAGGATGAACTCAAGGTGCTCTACCACTGAGTCACATCCCCAGTCCTTTTTGTTTTTTATTTTGAGATAGGGTCTTGCTAAATTGCATAGGGATTTGTTAAACTGCTAAAGTTGGCCTTGGATATGTTATCTCATCCCGCCTCAGCATCCTAAGCCACCATACTTAGCTAGATTATAAACTCTTTAAAGAAAAACAACAAAAGTAGGGTTGAGGGGGGAAAGTAGAAATTTAATTTGATGTCTACAAAAGTCCACTTAAACAAAGAAAGAAAAGTGATTGTTGGATTTAGGTGTCAAGATCACATTAGTGATCATAACAAGAGCAATTTCAGTGCAGTCTGTTTTCATCGTAAAAGCACAGAATATTAATCTCTAATATTCTACTAGCTTAAACAGATTGTTACCTGTTTTAACTTCCGTTTTACATCTTCAAGGCCACCAATCTGCTCCCAATCAATAGGCTTGATGTCCATCAATCCAATAACACTTCGAAATGATGAAGGCTGAATCTTCTTAAAAGCTTCAAGGAAGTCTGTTTCATCAATCAAAGGATTGTCTTGGTTCTGAAGAAATACACACAAAAAAGCAAAATCAAACCAAAAATTAGGTGACCCTTTTTTGTGGTAAACAAGCACAAATCTTTTTAAAAAATACTTTTTGGAATTTGTAAATCTATTTTGTTATCATTATCAAAGAAACTTATACGCATAAAACAAAAAAAACTGAATGTCTCCCCAATTCCTACTAGTATTCATCCCCAGAGAATGTCAACATTTTCTAGTGTATTTTTTAGTATGTTTAATGACAATAAGCATATGTACATCCTATTAAACAGATAAGCAAACTGAACCATTATATATATATTTTTTTCTCTTGAGATTTTTCTCATGTCAATTAATATGATTCTGTTACTCTTTGTGACACATAATACACTATTGAATAAACACATCATAATCATCTTTCTGACAAACATTAGGTTATTCCTAGTCTTGTTATTCAAAAAGAAAAACAAGCTTCAACTGAAAATCTTTATGGTCATATTCAAGTATTTTATATAATAATTTCCTTAAAGCAGAATTATTGAGTTTAAGAGTATGTACATTTACAATTTTGACAGCCATTACCAAACTGTTCTCAAAAGAAAATGCATCAATTTATTCTCCTTTAGTAATATGAAGCTATTGCTCTCTTGCTACCTCCTCAACACTATATATTACCAAACTTTTAAGCTTCTCCCAGTGTGACAGGAAAAAATGGTACTTACCACTGTGAGGGAATGATGAAATCAGTCACCTTTTTTGCAACTTTCATTGTAAAGGCTCTTTTGGCAAGAAAAAGATACTACATCTAGGGATGTCAAAGTCTGATAAAGAGAGGATATTTGCATGCCTTAAAGTATCTCCCCACAAATTTCTCAGTGGCTACACAGTGGAGAAATTTAGAAACCACCTTGATCATTAATCAAAATTAGCATCACCAATGAGGAACCAATGGACATGTATGCCTCCATTTGTGGTACTTTAAAAATATAACATCACTTAATTAGTATTGCTAACAGAGATGTATACTCAGATTCTGACCATTTAATAAAATAACAGACCTGCATCACTTATGTCAAATGTCTCAGCCAAAAAACCATTGTAAGCTGGAAGTAGTGGTGCACACCTATAATCCCAGAAGCTGAGGCAGGAGGATGATGAGTTTAAAGCCAGACTCAACAGCTTAGCGAAGCCCTAAGCAACTCATCAAGACCCTGTCTCTAAATAAAATTAAAAAATGGGCTGAGGATATGACTCAGTGGTTAAATACCCTGGTACCCTCCCCTCACAGGGAAAAAAAAAAAAACAACCCATTGTGATTTTTAAAAGACTAAAACTAGATTCTGTTTGAGAGAAAAAAAATGCTGGAAAGATTGGGAGAATCCAAATGAGACTATGGACTATAGATCTGATAATATTTATATCAATGTTAAATTTCCTGAGAATATTAACTATATATGACTATACTGTGATCATGGCAACATTCTTATTCTTAAGAAACAGATAGTAACATATTAAGGAACAAAAGGTATGCAATCCATTCTCAAATAGTTCCCCTAAATTAAAAAAATAGATGCACAGATACATGCACACACACTCAGAAACTAAAAGTGAAGACTTTTCATGTTTACTGGTACTCCTTTTATTGTCATTTACCTATTTTATTATCCATTTTCTCTTGGATTATTGATCTTAGCTTATTGATTTATAAGAGTTCTTTCTATATCAAGGAAATTGGGATAAAAGTATTTCTCTTAGTTTTGATTGTGTTTTTAGGCCTGTCGTTGACCAAAATGTTGCTATGCAGCACATGACTATAGCTTTTTTTTTTAAAACTGTACGGCAATATTAGATATTGGGTACCCAAATACTAATTAATTTTTAGGTAATACCAACATTTGAAAATCTTATTTGTAGATCTAGAACACTTGATTCTCATAACCTTTTCAGGCATATAAATTCTTTCCTCTGGGTGTGTATTTAACATTTCTAGTCCTTTAACAGAAATTCTCCACAAAAGTTTAACCATCTTTAACAGATCCCTTGTCTGCCCTGACACAGACAAAGGCAGCAGTAGAAGAAAAAGATGGAGCCAGTACCTTCCCAGATGTCTCTGTCCCTTCTTCCTTTTTGCCTTTCTTCCTTCCACTTTCCCTGGGTTGTTTCTGAACTCAGCCGTCAACTGTGGTAACTATGCTTAGATAGGCCCCTCCTGAAGTAGCAGTGGGCTCCACCCTAGGACGACAGCAGCTGACTGGTCCACCTAAGCCAGAGGTGCTTAAGGTCAAACATGGAACTCTAAAGTAGATGAAATCTGAAATGTAAATCTCTCTTCCCATCCCCTGGTATTGTTACCTGTCTCTCAAAGGACATATATTCTCAGACCTTTACACATGGGACTTATTAAAACTTTGAGTAGTTTTGGCTACAAACCCATAAGTTCACATAACTTCTTCCCACATTCAATACAAGAGTAAAAATAAAGGAAAAAGAATTAAGAAAGGATATAAATTATTTAGATAAAAAGGTTTCTCAAAATTCAGGTTGATAAATCATCCTTATGAAGTTTAAGATCAAAGAACAATCTTGATGTTACAATTGAAGTCAAAAACTCTTAAGAATCTTCAGCCTACTGAAATTATTTTTTCCTGAAGAGGTTAGAAAACATACTTACCACCTTTTTGAACTCCAAAATTAATTTATTATATTAATAAAAGATTAACGTAGAGGGTAATCAATATTTCTTACCTTCTCACTGTGAAGGAGAGCGTGCATGGCCGCCTCCCTACAGAGTGCTGTCAGGTCGGCACCAACATAGCCAACTGTCATTTCTGCAAGGAGACCCAAATTGGCATGACTGGAGATGGGCATCTTTGAGGTAATAACCTGTAGAATTTCCCTTCTTTGTTTAAGTGTGGGAGTCCCAATGATAACCTAAAGACAATACAAAAACAAAAAAATTAACTTTACAGCTTCAATTTTTTTTATCTTCACCAACTTGTACAATAATAAGCTAAAAGTGTGCAATTATTATTCCACTTTAGAGTCTAATACAGAACTGAGGTACTACATAATTCCTAAGCTTCAAATTTCTTTGGTAGTGTCCTGGGATTGAACCTAGAGGTGCTTAACCACTGGGCCATATCCTCAGCCCTTTTTTATAATTTTATTTAGAAACAGGATCTCGCTGATTTGCTTAGAGCTTCTCTGAGTTGCTGAGGCTGGCTTTGAACCCATGATTCTTCTGCCTCCCGAGCTGCTGGGATTAAAGACGTGAATCACCTTGCCTAGCTAGATATTTAACCTTAATGGCAACTCAAGGAGCAAATGTACACTGTATGCTGGTGTCCTGATAAGGAATGAATAAATCCCAATGAGTTTATGCCTGCTTTGATTTAGGTCTTTTTTGCCTTTACCCTTTTTATTTCAACACACTTTTGAAGTTATCCTGCCTGTAGGTTGTCCTTTCAGATGTACTAGCATTTAATACTTTCGTAGCAGACCTAGTTCCCTTAAGAATTAACATTGCCGATTATAGTACTGATCTTCAGGAACAGTACAGCAAAAATAACCCCACATGGATTCTGGACAAAACAGGTCCTGACTCACAGATTACTTAAGGGCTCATTGCAAGACGTCCCAGTCGAGCCTCTGACTCCCAAACCTAAGAGGCAAATGCTTCGACGCACCCAACCAGGCAGGGCAATTAGAGACCAGAGTTCTAGGGACAAAAGGGCTAACCGGTCCAGCCTGCTCACCTCTCGGTCAAATCTCCCGGGTCTGCGAAGTGCTGGGTCTAGCGCGTCTGGCCTATTGGTGGCTCCCACCACAACCACCTCGCGGTCCCCGCAGACGCCGTCCAGGAGCGTCAACACCTGGGCCACCACGCGGCTCTCGGGGGTCCGGTGTGCGCCGCCCCTCCGCGGACACAGGGCGTCCACCTCGTCCAGGAAAAGCAGGCTAGGCCCTCGGCTGGCCAGCTCCCGGGCGCGCTGAAAGACCCGCCGCACGTTCTCCTCCGTCTCCCCAGGCCGGGAGCCCTGCAGCGCCGGAGCACTCACCGCCAGCAGCTCTGCGCCCGCTTCCCGGGCCACCGTCCGCACCAGCTGGGTCTTGCCCACTCCAGGAGGACCCACCAGGAGCACCCCACGGGGCACAGCCAGCCCCAGCGCGGCCAGGGTGCTGGGGTAGCGGAGCGGCAGGCGGAGGAGCTCCCGCAGCGAGTCGGTCGCCTCCGAAAGGCCCCCTAGGGACACCCCGGGCTGTGGCGCCGCCGCTGACGGAGGCTCCCGGCAGAGAGCGATGCAGGTTCGAGGGGTGACAAGCCCCGCTGGATCCGGGTTGGGTGTCCCGCCGATGATGTGCAGGGCGGTCACAGGGCTTGGGTCTCCCGGCGGAGCGGCCACCACGTGGCCCTGGGAGACCGGTCGGTTCCTCAGCAGCTCCTGCGCTGCCTCCAGCACCGCGGCTGGACTCGGGGCACTCGGCGCGCCTGCGGGCATTCGCAACACTGGCCACACAGAGAGGCGCCGCAGGGGCGGGCAGGGTACCAGGCTGAGGCGGCTCAGGCTGAGAGTCCCCGGGGAACCCCGCTCCCCCACCGCCGCCCCGGGACTTGCGCACTGCAGGTCCAGCTGCACAAAACCATCAGCTCCATCCCGCCGCGGCCAGGCAGTGCAGAGGCAGGAGCCACCTTCGGGCAGCAAGATCCTCACTGCCGAGCCCACACGCGCACCCAAGGTGCGGAAGGCGGCAGGACCCAGGCGACAGCGCTGGGTGCCCCGGTCCCTAGCATCTACAGGTAGCAGCTTTAAGAGGGGCCCTTCAGGGAAGGGACCTGAGTCCGGGACCATGGCGCGTGAAAGACTCAGTCCTAGGAAGCTGGAGCAGGAACTCCATCCGGACGGAAAGGCCAAACACACCGCGCTCCCGGACCGGAAGCAGGCTGCGCGCATGCGCTAAGGATGATGTTCAGTAGCTAGCGGTTGAGTGAAGATATCAAGGAAAAAGAGACAACGTCTGGGCTCTGGGGAATTTTTGGTCCAGTTTGATGAGGTTGAGCAGCCCAGAGATTTATGGAGGTGGTGTTTACAGGTGTCTGGGAGGCAACGTAAGCTAACCATTAAGTATGGCCTTGGTACCTTGGGAGTCACCAGCATTGCATGTTCTTTTTCCTGGCCCTGGGACCGCGGCATTACTGAGTAGTACAGGAGAGGCTGGACACCCGAGAAATTTTCAGGAAGCAGGTTTATTGACTGCAGGGTTCAGAGGTGGCGCTGATCAAATATATGGAAATTCTTTTAACATTATACCCAGTGGGGGGGAGCACTTGGAGGCTCACATGACAAGTACTTTCTGTTCCTCTAGACCAGACACAGGCTTCACAAGTTTGTTTGTTTTACCAAGAAAACGAGATAATTTTACCAAGAGATAATATATTCTGTACAGGCATACAGACTAACTCTGTCACGCCTTTTGTGCGCAAACCTGGCGTTTATAGGAAGGAGGAAACTACCAATCACAATAACTTCTGTAGACATGTTGCTGATTTGACAAGAGGAGAAGCTTAATTATGGCAAGGGTCTTTGGAGTGAGGATACCTGGTCTGCTTCATTACTATTGCGGCTATTGGAGTATCAGCCTACAGACTCGTTTTTTTTTTTTTTGTAAAGAAACTCCCAACTGTCCCCCATGGGAACAGTATTTAGCGGGTGTCATATTGCTTATGTCTTAGGTAACTCGGATTAGCTGAGTTAACAACCTTGGCACCTTCCATAACCGAAATTCTAACCTGTTGGGGTGATCCAGCCTTTCTATAGAAAAGCACCAAGGAGAGGAGCACAGTGTGACATTTAAAATCTCTTGGAGAGACAAATAGGCTGGTTGTAAGGCAGAGAAGTCTATGGAGCACAGGCTGGACTCCCAGGAGTGTCAGAGAACTGAGTCGGTGGCAGTCTGCACTCTGTACTGTTGTGGAGATTGTTCTGTGGCCTTTGAAGACACCTCCTCTTTGGTGATAGGAGATTGGGTGATTGGCATCAACTAATACCTGTGAAGAAATCTGCACCCTGTGGCCCGTGGTGACATAGAGCCCTCCAGCTGCCCGGGTGGAACTGCAGATGCATGATAAAGTTGCAGAGATAACAACACTGCCTAGAGAGTTAAGAGAAAAACTCAAGACAAGAAAAATCCAACCAGTGAGATTCAGGGTCATAATAAAAAGTGTTAAAATATAAATAAAAATAAAATAAAATCCCTTGGAGAGGGGAAAGAAGGAAAGCTAGGCTATCCGATGTATTTGTAGCATACTAGTACATTTGTTCCAATTCCTGATTTACTCCTTTGAATGTTCTTTGGCATTAAAAGGCTATTTGGGACATAGCACTACTAAGTCTTGTACTGGATTAGAGACTATACCTGTCTACATTATTAAAACAACGGCCTACTCTTCATTTTCCACCTACTTTCTGCGTTTTCGCAAGTAATTACTCTTTTTGGCTGAAATTCATTTCCTATCCCTTTTAATTTTCATTAAAAGGGATGACATATTTAAAGGCAAGAAGCTATGCCTTTTTTTTTTCAACCAGGGATTCAATCCAGGGGTGCTTTAACCACTAAGCCACATCCCCACCCCTTTCTATTTTGTATTTTGAGAAACGGTCTTATTAAGTTGCTTAGGGCCTTGCTAAATTGATGAGGCTGGCTTTGAACTTGTTATCTTCCTGCCTTGATCTCCCAAACCTCTGGGATTACAGGAGTGTGCCACCATGCCCGGTAATATGCCTTGTTTTTAATCCTGCTCACATCTTCCTACCTCTATTTTTCTCACCTTCACTGAAACCCAAATTTGTGAAATAACAAAACTGATTGCAAACAGAATGCCTAAATGGCTGGGATGCAGTTATATAGTTTCTATTGCAAATAATCCCAGATTGAATATTATCAAATCAATGGAAAGTATTCTTGGATCTGGGACCAATGCTAATTCCTGGTCTCATTCTATCTAAACTTAATAGCAAACAGTATGAAAGACTTCTAGACTCTACTGTAACTTATCTCTTTTTTACTTCCCCAACTCCAGTGCTAGAACAACTTAAAATGCACCCAAAAAATAGCACAAATAGCAGGAGGAGGTCCAGAAACGGGTAATTCTTACATTCCTTTAATTTCATTAGCCTCTGTCCTCTTTGGCCTTCAGACTCGGCTCTCCCCACCCATTCCCCACCAACATACACTGGGGATTGAACCCAGGGATGCTCTTCTGCCACTGACCCCAATCCTTTTTATTTTTTTTTATTTTGGAATAGGGTCTTGCTAAACTGAGGCTAACCTGGAACTAGCTATAATCCTTCTGCCTCAGCCTCCCAAGTTACTGGGATTACAGGTGTGTGCCACAGTATCCCAGCTGCTTTCAAGCTTTTCAATAATTGTCTTGCATATTCTCAAAAAAAATCATTTTCCTGACCCCTAAAGATGTGAGTAAAATGCCTATTAAGTTATTCATCATGATGCCTGTACCTCAAAGAAGATTCTTTAATTCCAGTTCCAAGTAACTGTGAAGATCTGGGAAAGAGAATGAAGACTTAATAAGGACATGATAACTGTCTTAAGTATGTAAAGGGCTGTCATGTAAAAGAGTCAGCATATTTAGGAATATCTATAATATAGAAGAACCAGGAAATGAAAGATCAGTGGAATGAACTTAAGATATTTCTCTACTTGTATTTTGAGTATGGGCATATGGAAGATACAGTTAAGGGACATGACTGAAGCCAATTTAGGGGAGCAAACATAAGAAGGCAAATAAAGTTAACTCAACCTTAGCGTTTTCTGAAATTAGGAATATGATGTGAAGAAAACTGCATGTTGTTTGTGTTAATCTGATGGGTTGGTTTTCATACAGGTCAAACTAGAATCCTCTGCCCTTGTAGGACCCATATAGCCAGGAAATGTTCACTTCACCCTCCCTGAAAAGGTGAGTCCTCACCTTAAGTCTCAAACAAAATCAACAAGGGATCCTGTTCCTGGACTTTTAACTTTCTGTTCCTTTGGGTCAGACCTTTTTCCAACACTATTATTTCAACCATCTGTGATTTCATATTTATAATACCATTAAATTATTTAATCTTCTTTGGGAAAAGCATTCTAATAGGAGTTGAGTGGTTCTTTTGCTTATTTGTTTTCAAGATCATCCCAAATTTGGCAATTCTATGACTAGAAGAGCATCAATTAATGCACAAAAATGTTGAGCCACTAGAGGGAGTCCAGAACCATTTAAACCTGAAGTCTGCCGGATTGTCTAGAGATTGAAAAATGTTCTTAACTGTGAATTCCACTAGGTTTTGCTCAGAATTCTCAGATGTAAAAAACATCCTATTGTCTCTATATAGTGTCTTAGTCTGTCCTGGCTGCTATAACAAAATACCATAAGCTCGGTAGGTTATAAACAACAGCAATTTATTCCTTATGGTTCTGGAGATTAGGAAGTCAAAGTTCAGTATACTGACAGATTTGGTGTCTGGTAAGCATCTACTGTCTGTTTATAGACAGCACCTAGTTGCTGTATCTTCACATGGAAGAAAGGAGTAGCTAGTTCTCCAGCTTTCTTTTTTAGAGGGCTAATCTCATTCAGGAGAGCTCTACTCTCATGGCCTAAACACTTCCCAAAGGCCCACCTACTAATACCATCATCTTGAGAGTGAGAATTTCAACATTAGATATGTGTGGTGGGTACAAACATTAGAATTACAGCAGTAACTGACTTATTCTTACACAATTTCTACATGTCTCAGCCCATGGAAATCCCAGTTTCCAAGTTAAAACTTAATTTCTGTATTAAATTTAAAAACAAGACTCTCCTCGGATCCAAAATTTAGTGGTGGATCAAAATCTAGACAAATTGAATTTATCTTGCTATAGCCTAGAAGCATTTCTAGGTTTAAATTGTTTCAAACAGGTTTATTATACAAAATATTTCCTGAGATTTTTCTAAAGTGATACATGTAAGAAATAGTTTCTCTTGATTTTCATTGCTACATTCAAAGTTACAATTTGTCAGTCCATGGTGGGATTATCTGTTAATTTCAGTGACTGGGGAAGCCAAAATAGGAGAATCACAAGTTTGAGACCAGCCTGGGCACTTAGTGCGACCTTGCCTCAAAATACAAAATAAAAAGGGCTGGGGCTGGGGGGGCTGGGGTTGTGGCTCAGTGGTAGAGTACTTGCTTCATATGTGTGAGACACTTGGTTCTATTCTCAGCAACACATATAAATAAATAAAATATATAAATAAAATAAAGGTCCATCAACAATTTAAAAAATGTTTTTAAAAAGGGCTGGAGGGCTGGGAATGTGGCTCAAGCGGTAGCATGCTTGCCTGGCATGTTCGGGGCACTGGGTTTGATCCTCAGCACCACATAAAAATAAAGATGTTGTGTCCACCAAAAAACTAAAAAATAAATATTAAAAAATTCTCTCTTTCTCTCTCCTCTCTCTCTCTCTCTCTCTCTCTCTCTCTCTCTCTCTCTCTCTCTCTCTCTCTTTAAAAAATAAAATAACATAAAAAATAAAAAGGGCTGGAGATGTAGCTCAGTGCCAAAGCACTCTTGGGTTTGAGCTCCTATACCAAAAAATAGTAACTATTTTTAAAAACCACACACAAAAGTTAAACTTAGTGTAATAATTAATTTAATTGATAAAAATCTCAATTAATATACCTAGAATTCAGAAGAAGTAATTGGAACTTGTTTATTTTTAGGATAATGATTATACATGAATTTTGTACCTTTAGCATCAATAATAATATGTTAAATATATTTCACTACATGAAACATACCATAATTATGAAAAAGCTAAAGAAAATAGCTAAGCCATCAGCATGAGTCATCTGTAGAAGAATGGATACTAATTTTTCTGTTTTTCCATTTTCTTGTTATATTTAACCCT